GGGTCATCTCCTGTATCTCCTTCCGCATTCCTTCCCGGACTGCTTCAGGGATACGGTAAGGGGGTTGTCGCAGAGGGTTCTGTCCAGGGGTTTCTACCTTGTGTACAGCTAGGGTAGTGTAACCAGGTTCTTGGGAGAAGGTCGCCTGCTTTTCCCACAGAAGCTGTCTTGCCTGGCCCTTCTCGGTAGCGCTCAATCTGTCCCCTAGCTGTACTAGGCTAGTAAGATCCGTCTGGGGGTCCCTCTCTAACAGGTCTGGCAAGGGTAAACTTTCTGTATCATCTGCAGCAGGGGCACATACTGCAGCGACATTCTCTGGTCTCTCCTGATACTCCTTTAGCATGTTCACATGGAAGGATCGCTGGATCCTTTCATCTGAACAGCTGGCTATAAGGTAGGTAGTATCACATATCTGTGCTAACACCTTATACGGGCCCTGCCAAGATGCCTGCATCTTGTTCGCCTTCACAGGTTTGAGTACTAACACTTTCTGCCCAACCTGGAAGACTCGCTGTCGGGCACCCCGATCGTACCACCTCTTCTGTCTCCCCTGAGCCACCTGGAGATTCTCCCTTACCATTAGGGACAGTTTCTCCATGCGGTCCCGGAGTTCCAGAACATATGGTACTATGGGGGTCCCTTCCTTGCTCTGTCTCCCCCTCCCAGTGGCCTCTAATGAGATCTAGGGGTCCGCGGACCCTTCTCCCATATAGCAACTCAAAGGGGGAGAACCCAGTAGATTCCTGGGGCACCTCTCTGTAGGCAAACAACAGATGAGGCAGGAATCGCTCCCAGTCTCTGCAAGTGTCAGAAAAGGTCCTCAGCATCTGTTTGAGGGTGCCATTAAATCGCTCGCAGAGACCGTTAGTCTGTGGATGGTAAGGTGAGCTAAGCAGCGGTTTAATACCGCACACCTTCCACAGTTGCTGGGTGAGCACAGCGGTGAATTGGGTTCCCTGGTCAGAGAGAATCTCTTGAGGGAACCCGACTCTGGTGAAAATCCTAACCAGGGCATCAGCAACTGTCTCTGCCTCTATATTAGACAGCGCTACTGCCTCTGGATAGCGAGTGGCATAATCCACCACGGTGAGAATATATTTCTTACCGGATGGACTAGCCCTGGCCAGTGGACCCACAATGTCAACGGCTATGCGGGCAAAGGGCTCCCCAATGATAGGCATAGACATAAGCCTAGCTCTTGGGTGGTCCCCCCGCTTTCCTATCCGTTGACATGTGTCACACGTACTGCAGTATGTCCGCACAGCCTGATTGAAGTTTGGCCAAAAAAAGTTCTGCATGATCCTATAGGCTGTGCGGCGGGAACCTAGATGTCCAGCTAACGGAACATCATGCCCTATCCGCAGAATCTCCTGCCGGTATTTCGCGGGCACCACCAGCTGTCGATTCGGCGGAGGGGCAACACTCTTCGGGGAAAGCTTGGGGATCCTATATAACCTGTCCCCCACCCACTCATACCGTTCCCCATCTAATCCTTCCTCTCCAGTATCTGCTCTGTCCCTATACTTCTGGAGGGTCGAATCTGTCTGAGTTTCCCTCCCAAACTCCTCTGGGGAATCCCAGTTAACAAAAGTCTGTTCTAGGGTACCAGTCGGGGACTCGGTCCTTACCTGGGTCTCAGCAGCAGGTGGGCTGGTTCCAGCAGCACGGGTCTGGGCACGGGTAGTCACTGGGTTGATAGCGGCAGGTCCCATTGGAGCATAGGCGGACACCAAAGGGGCCAAGTCATTCCCAAGTAAAACATCGGCCGGTAAGTCTTTCATGACCCCCACATTCACGTGTCCAGAGCCCACCCCCCAATCCAAGTGAACCCGGGCAACCGGTAAACGGAACACTGCACCTCCTGCCACCCTCACTGCCACAGTATCTCCAGTGTGTTGGTGTTCGGACACAAGGTTCTTTTGGAGCAAAGTCATAGTGGCTCCGGTGTCTCTCAGTCCAGTTACCGCTTTGCCATTTAGTTTAACGGTCTGCCTGTGCTGTTGACGGTTATCCTGCTGCGCTGCTTGGACCGGATCCGCCTCATGTAATATACCCCAAAATTCCTCCTGCTCCAGACAGTGAGCGGAAGGTTGGGGTGGCTGCTGATTTCCGCCGGCTGGTCTTCTCCACGACTGGGCTTGGCTCGAATTGTTTAATCGGCACTCGGGTCGCTTGTGCCCCAACTGCTTACACCCATAGCAACGGATCGGCTGCGAGTAATCCCGGGCGTTGAACCGGGCTGGCTGAACGTAATTGTTCGCTGTTGGCATGGTGGGGGTGCGTTGTGCTGGGTGTTGATACACTGCAGAGGTTGGAGGGGCTGCTAGTTTGTACTCCACTCGGGTAGGGACCTTGGCTGCTGTCTGGTCCAGTTTCCTGGCGTCAGTGTACTCATCAGCCAGACGAGCAGCTTCGGGTAAGGTAGCGGGTTTGCGGTCCCTAACCCACTCTCTGACTCCTACAGGTAAGCGGTCAAAACAGTGCTCCAACAAAAACACTTGCAGCACCTCTTCCCCAGTTACCGCTTGGCACCCTGCCATCCAGTGGGCTGCGGTGCGGTGTACTCGGCATGCCCACTCAACATAAGAATCACCAGCCTGCTTGTTAGTGTCCCGGAATCGCCGCCGGTATGCCTCCGGGGTCACAGCATATCTGGCCAAAAGGGCATCTTTCACTGCCCTGTAGCTGGTAAGTTCCTCCTCTGGGATGGCCCGAAACGCCTCACTGGCCCGGCCGGATAACTTCCCAGAGAGGATGGGGACCCATTCTCCTGCGGGTACCTGGTGTAAGGCACATTGCCTTTCAAAATCCGCCAGGAACCCATCAATTTCTCCTTCGGCTTCTACAAAGTTCCGAAATGCAGCAAAAGGTACTTTTCTCCTTCCATTATTATTATTATAAGGTACCTCAGCTGCTGCAGCGCCTCTTCCTTGAAGCGCCTGTTGTGCTGCTACTGCCGCTTGTACTTGCACCACAATATCTGCTGCGGGGTTGGGGCCAAAATGTGCCAGCCTGATCTGAACTGCCCGGTTAAACTGTATCTCCTCGGGTGTTAACTCCAGTATGCCAGGCACATTCGCTCCCCCCGTTCCCTGTGCTGCATCCATTTCCAATAGTATGGCAATAATCTCTCTTTTCTTGAGATTACTCGCTGATCGTCCTCTGCGTTCCAATATATCTTTAAGGGTAGCACGCCTTAACTCCCCATACTGCATTTCCAACCTGGGATGTGTAGCTGGCCTACCCGGGCTGTAGGATTCATCCCGTCGCTTGCCACCAATTGTTACGACACATACTGTCGGGTAGATGAAGCCGCCGTTTAGGCAATAATCCCCTTCTCCAGAAATGCAGTTTAAATCCAGCCGATCGCCAAACTCCCGAACGAAGTCCGCGAACACGGCAACTCCCGATCAGCCAAACAGTCGAACGCCTTCCACAGCTAGAAATAACGAAAGCGCTGTCCCAATAATAATTCCCCCCACAAACGAGACCAAGCTCCGTCTTGAGGGTCAAATGAAGATCTGTTTAATGGGGGCTACCTGCCCGGTATTTATGCAGGTCTCCACAAGGTGGACACTCCCCGAGGGGACCTTGTGGAAGACTGTAAAACATGTTGTACAGTAGCCAATCGCAGTGGCTTCAATAATAGCCCTTCCCATCTTGCCCATAATTCCGTCTTCTCTACCTCGGAGATAATTGGGAAGAAACCCAATTATCTCTCAAGGTAGAGACAATCGCCATCTTGAAATACACTAACAAAAATACATTAAAATACATAACGACAGAAATACCGAATGCATATGGTTCGTATAACGTATCCCCAGACAGCCTGGATCTGAGGGCATACTTTCACCGAATAGCGCTCAGATCCGATGTATCTGGTCGAATCGCCATGGAGTCAAAGTCTTTCGCCAGTCCTTCGGTATACGAATGACTCCATGGGATGGCTGTCGGGGTGAAAGTCCATACGAATGAATAAAACTCCCGAACGACTGACGTTCGCATACTTTGTCGAAAAGGAAGGTAAGCAGCAGCTTTTCAGCGGTGTTCGGTAGTTTAAGTGTCCGTTTTTAGTTCCATACAGTTTGTACCGAACACCGCTCTGTGTTCGTATGTCCCAAAATGGCCGCTGCCTCGTGGTCGACATGCGAACGACGACCACCCGTACGAATGGAATGGAGAGGTGTCTGCGGTTAACCACAATGTTCTAATTGGGGCCAGGAGGTTAACCAGCAGCACACTCCTCTCCTGGGTGGTCGTTCGTTCGGTAGTTTCAATCGGTATTTTGCAAATTACACGAACGGGGTTATAGGAACAGGCAATTCCGCGAACAAAAGGGAAACAGATGAACCAACAATGCAGATGAATCTGTCACACGGCTCCACACCGAAGCTGTTCGGTGGAAATTGCAGGTAAGTCTCTGAACGTGCAGGGACCCTTGCGGCTGGTGGTTGGTTATCTCCACGGGTCTCCGGACCCATTTAGGTTACATCGCTAGTAGTTTGGGAGGGTCTCAGTGTTCAAGGTGTGAATTCCAAGATCATCGTTGGGTCCAGGTGAGACAGGCCTGTATTGTTGGTTCTCGCTACCTGCAGCATGCCAGTTTGCTCATGTGGTCTTCCAGTGCCTTGTATATTCTGGCTCTGTGTGTCATGCCCTGTATGGTGTACAGGAGTGCTCTTGGCAATCCTCATTGGTAAGCAACCTCTCCGTTCCGCAGTTGTTGCAGCAGGGGTCTCTGGGACTGACACCAGGCTAGAGTATTTCTGGTGAGGACCAGGAATATTAGTAGTGAGGCTCCCTCACACAATATCTGGGTTTTTCCTCGTATTGACACTTGGAGCAGTGCCTTGTCTTGCAGGGACTGGAGTCTGAGGATTAGGTCTGGTGTGTCTGAAGGTGGAGAGCCTGCCGGTTTCAGAAGGCGAAACATGCTGTCGAGTTTAACAGCTTTGGCGTGTTTAGGTGGGAGAAGGGTGGCCAGAGATCTCTGGATAAAATTAGGATGAGTCATCCATAGTCACTGACTCCAAAATTCCCTGGATCTTCAGATTGTACCACCTTGTGTGGTCTTCCAGGGTGTCTATTTCATCATCAGTTTGTTGCTGCCGCCACTTTAGTTCCTCCAGTCCTTGTTCCACCACATTAATTCTGGTATTGTGCATACTGTGTGTGGCTTCGAGTTGGGTGACCTGAGTTTCCACTCCTTCCACAGCTTTCTGGAAGCGGGCCATATCCCCCGCTATGTTAGTGCGCAGCTCGGTGAGCATTGTGCAAAGTTGCGCTACCGTGTTCTCAGTTACAGGAGGGCTAGGTGCCGACTGTTTAGTTAGTGAGGCCCCCTCTCCCAGGTCGAAAGTAAAGTCCTCATAGGAGCATGAGGATCCGTCTCCCAGGGATTCGGATCCTCAAGGCTAGGCTCCTCCCCACATTTATTTTGTTTCTAAGGACAGATTCTTTTGGTATCTTTTAAATATTTTGGAGTGAACTAACTTAACAAATTATGTTTTTTACTTATAATAATTTCTACATACCTAATGCAGCTTCATAAATATGCCACAAAATCAATTATTTTATCGTTTGCTAAATTGTTTTAGGGAATGTTTCCACACAGGGAATATATTTTCAAATTTGGTGATATTTTGTGAGAAAATCTTCTGGAATGAGGTTTAAAGTCTTCTCAGTCATATTCTTGGAATGACCCTTACAACTGACCCTATTCTGGCACACAGCACTATATATCACAAAAAATGCAACCTACTGCAAAGGAACCATGCAAAATGATTTGCACCACCTCGATGATTTGTGTTGCAAAAAAGTTGAGGTATGCAACTCCACAGTTCGATATGTTTGTGAACAAAATAAATTTGTGAACACATAACATAACTAAAAAGAGTGCATGCATGGCTTGTCCCCATTGTTGATTGTACCTTACTTGTACTTGCATTTTATTTTATGTATGTTGCTTTGTATTTATTAAAAGTCTTTCATAAAAAATGTATATAATAAAGAAAAAAAAACTAAAAAACATCCAAACCATTTTAAAATATAATCTGATAAGTCAGCCTATTTCTGCAAGTGAAAACACCTTTCTTGGTTTGTACTGGCCCAGTATATATTTGTATAGAACTATCATTTCTCATCCGAGGTGCTATTTTTTTCCTAAGAAAACAAGATAATTTTTTTTTAGCTTTCCTTAGAACGTATGTTTCCCATCCCCCTTCCTAATTTCGTAGCCAGTCTCTGCACTTTTTTTTAGTTCTGCAATATCCTTCTTCAAATCTGGTGCCCGAAATTACAATGCACATTCAAGGTGATGTCTTGCCATTGATTTGTAAAGAGGCAAAATTATATTTTTACCTCGTGAATCAAAACCCCTTTTTTTTTTATACAAAAGCACCTTACTAACTTTTGAAAATGCAGACAGGTGTTGCATACTGAGACCTAGTTTGTGATTTATAATTGTTTCCAAATTTTAACTGAATGTTATCCCTAACTCAACCCCATTTAATGTATAACTGGCTTGTGGGTTCCTTATTCCAAAATGCATGACTTTACATTTATATATACAGGGAGTGCAGAATTATTAGGCAAATGAGTATTTTGACCACATCATCCTCTTTATGCATGTTGTCTTACTCCAAGCTGTATAGGCTCGAAAGCCTACTACCAATTAAGCATATTAGGTGATGTGCATCTCTGTAATGAGAAGGGGTGTGGTCTAATGACATCAACACCCTATATCAGGTGTGCATAATTATTAGGCAACTTCCTTTCCTTTGGCAAAATGGGTCAAAAGAAGGACTTGACAGGCTCAGAAAAGTCAAAAATAGTGAGATATCTTGCAGAGGGATGCAGCACTCTTAAAATTGCAAAGCTTCTGAAGCGTGATCATCGAACAATCAAGCGTTTCATTCAAAATAGTCAACAGGGTCGCAAGAAGCGTGTGGAAAAACCAAGGCGCAAAATAACTGCCCATGAACTGAGAAAAGTCAAGCGTGCAGCTGCCACGATGCCACTTGCCACCAGTTTGGCCATATTTCAGAGCTGCAACATCACTGGAGTGCCCAAAAGCACAAGGTGTGCAATACTCAGAGACATGGCCAAGGTAAGAAAGGCTGAAAGACGACCACCACTGAACAAGACACACAAGCTGAAACGTCAAGACTGGGCCAAGAAATATCTCAAGACTGATTTTTCTAAGGTTTTATGGACTGATGAAATGAGAGTGAGTCTTGATGGGCCAGATGGATGGGCCCGTGGCTGGATTGGTAAAGGGCAGAGAGCTCCAGTCCGACTCAGACGCCAGCAAGGTGGAGGTGGAGTACTGGTTTGGGCTGGTATCATCAAAGATGAGCTTGTGGGGCCTTTTCGGGTTGAGGATGGAGTCAAGCTCAACTCCCAGTCCTACTGCCAGTTCCTGGAAGACACCTTCTTCAAGCAGTGGTACAGGAAGAAGTCTGCATCCTTCAAGAAAAACATGATTTTCATGCAGGACAATGCTCCATCACACGCGTCCAAGTACTCCACAGCGTGGCTGGCAAGAAAGGGTATAAAAGAAGAAAATCTAATGACATGGCCTCCTTGTTCACCTGATCTGAACCCCATTGAGAACCTGTGGTCCATCATCAAATGTGAGATTTACAAGGAGGGAAAACAGTACACCTCTCTGAACAGTGTCTGGGAGGCTGTGGTTGCTGCTGCACGCAATGTTGATGGTGAACAGATCAAAACACTGACAGAATCCATGGATGGCAGGCTTTTGAGTGTCCTTGCAAAGAAAGGTGGCTATATTGGTCACTGATTTGTTTTTGTTTTGTTTTTGAATGTCAGAAATGTGTATTTGTGAATGTTGAGATGTTATATTGGTTTCACTGGTAATAATAAATAATTGAAATGGGTATATATTTGTTTTTTGTTAAGTTGCCTAATAATTATGCACAGTAATAGTCACCTGCACACACAGATATCCCCCTAACATAGCTATAACTAAAAACAAACTAAAAACTACTTCCAAAAATATTCAGCTTTGATATTAATGAGTTTTTTGGGTTCATTGAGAACATGGTTGTTGTTCAATAATAAAATTAATCCTCAAAAATACAACTTGCCTAATAATTCTGCACTCCCTGTATATTGAATCCCAACTGTCCTTGGGATTTCCTTTTCTATTTAGATTTTTTGTTTTGCTTATTATTCTATGTTTGAGCTTGTTTCTGATTCTATACCAGGCATAGGCAACCTTCGGCACTGCAGCTGTTTTGGACTACACATCCCATTATGTTTACCAGCATTATGGGTGTAAGAGCATTATGGGGGATGAAGTCTGCAACATCTGGAGTGCTGAAGGTTGCCTATCCCTGTTCTATACTCAACTTGTTTCTTGATCCTATTTCTTACTGCAAGTGACTATATCTTGTCCATAGCTTATGTATGTGTTTTATGTTGCATCTATTGTTCCATAATTAATTCCAGTATTGAATAGTATGTTTTCTTCTCTCTCTTTTAATAAAACATATTTAAAACAAAATATATTATTTTTATTAATTCCAATTATTAAAGTTAACCATTTTGCGAAATGTCATATGTTGAGACTGTAAGTTTAATATTATTTGTAAAATCAGGACAAAAATATATATAAGGAGCACAACAAAAAGAATATATTGATTACCTCAAATACCTCGACAAGACAGTAAATCCTGAAAACACTCTAAAAATTAATACAATATAAACAAAATAGTGTGGACAATAGGTGTAAGTGGAAAGACACTGGCAACATGCATAAACCAATAAAAGCATTTATCCCACAAGTGGAATACACAGCAAACATTAGATAGCTTACAGTGCTTATGTTGTGGTAATAAAAATAAAATATAATAATTTTCAATTTTTATAGCTCTTTTCTCCCTGCGAAACTCACTTTACAAGTATAAAAACATAAAGACATAAAAGTTAGGAGTTCCTGAAGGTCAGCTCAGCAGACTGAATGCCTGATGGAAGAGGTGGGTCTTTAGCATTTTTTAAAAGTCTGTAAGGATGGTGCCTCTCTGATTGCCCATGGTAAAGAGTTCCGGAAGGTAGGGGCAGCGTGGCTGAATGCCCTGGAACCTGAGTCTGTCCTTATTCTTGGCACTGACAGGAAGGATTTGCTGCCTGATCGAAGTGAACAGGATGGAATGTATGGTGTCAGGAGTTCTTTCAGGTATTGTCGGTCTTGATTGTTTAAAGCATTGAAGGTTAGCAGGCCAATTTTAAAATATGTTTGCCATTTAATTGGAAGCCAATGCAGGGAGTGGAGAACAAGTGTTATGTGACAGGAGCGCGTTTGATTGGTCAGTAGTCTGGCTGCTGCATTTTGTACAGTCTGAAGGCGATGGAGTTCTTTGTCTGGGAGGCTCAAGTAAAGTACATTGCAATAATCTAGCCGAGAGGATACAAATGCATAGATTAATGTTGGCATTTCATCCGGAATTAAGTATTGTATCCTGGCTATGTTTTTCAGATTAAAGTAGGCAGATTTTATTACAGAGGAAATCTGCTGTTTAAATGATAGTACAGAGTCAATCAGCACACCAAGGTGTCGTACCTTTGATGAACTGATGAGTTCAGTTTAAGACAACTAGCATTCATTCATTCTATGAGGTCTGCTAAGCAACTGTTGATGCGGCATGTTGGATCTGTGGTATCTCGAGCAAAGGAGAAGTAGAGTTGTGTGTCAACAGCATAACAATGATACCTTAGGCCATGTCGCCTAATGATGTCCCCCAGTGGTAGCAAGTAAATTGCTAACAACATGGGAGACAAGATGGATCCTTGTGGAACTCCCCAGGCCAGTTCTGTTGGTGCCAATGAGCTTGATCCTGATGTTACTCTCTATGATCTACCAGTGAGGAAAGATTTAAACCAGTTAAGGACTGTGCCTCCTAGACCACAGATGTGCTGCAAGCGCTCTATTAAAGTCCTATGATCAATGGTGTCAAATGCAGCTGAGAGATCTAATAGGATTAGGGTGTAACTTTTGCATGGTTCTTTTAACTCCCTTTATATCCACATTTGTAAAAGTGGACCATAAACTGGGGGAATCTGGCCTTCCATTGCAGTGGTTCTGGTGTGTAACTGTTTGGCCTGCTGTGATAGAGGCTCGGGTTGAGGAAATGTTTTCTCTGAAGAAGATTGCAAATGCTTCACACTTATTCTGAGAAAAGTTGGTGGGGATATGCATGCATGCTGGTTTGCAGAGCCTTTCTACTGTGCGTAACAGTTGCCTAGC